GATTTCTTTGGATATTTTACACAAAATCACGGGAACTTTTTGGAATCTAAAATAATGCGTCGAAAAAAACTGCTTTTGAATTTTTTAAAAATGCATCAAAGTAAATTGAACATTAAAGCCTAATCATCATCGAGCTGACGGGGAAGAAAGCGTCGTCTCTCTTACACAACGCAAACGGTAGAACAACATTCGAGCAAAAAGAAAATTATCAAATAATCATCATATGACATATTTGATTTCGTTCTAATTCCTCAATTTGGTGTAAATTAAACCATTTCTGATCAGAAATGTTATTACTAGGACATCGTTGCTTGCTATTTTCAGAATTCACACAAGCACAACATCAGCAGCTCTTATTATGAGAAAAACTAAAATACATACATTCGTGACGGCCTTCGGCGACAGTGTCGTATGACAGAGCCTGTCGTATGACATTTTAGTTTGGTACTGTAATTTGAAAGCTTGTTTTGCAAGTGTCGGAAGCAAAGGCAGTTGATTATCACAGAAAATGTGTCGACTACGGTGACCGCTTACAAGACTGGTCTCGACACGACTTTTAGTCGCCTTCACACGGCACCGTCGAAAAGTTTTCTCTTCAAGCAAAGATTGACAGTATATTATGGGAACTTTCGGCGGAGTGAAGAGATAGTACGAAGGCCGCCATGTTCCACGCACAGTCTGACGTTTGCTTGCGGGATATTTCATAGGAAGGAAGAGCTACAGAGTCGCCGTCAACGCCAGTTCTATCAAAAAGCGGATAAGTGAGCAAGATCCCTTCAGAATCAGATTATACGCTAGATTGTACACTGAAGAAAAAATCCGTAGAAACTGTACCGAATTCCGTAGATTTTGCCTACGGATCCGTATTTCCGTAAAAATTTGTAATATCCGTAGATCTACGGAGATTTCCGTAGATCTGGCATCTCTGGATGGCAATCGATGTCCGTCGGTGATTGGCACTAGATTGCGGAACAGAGACCGACGTTATATAAAGGAAAGATAAGTGTTTCATGAAAGAGAAAACTATCTAAGTCGAGCGCTCTTTCGCTCATCCGTTTCACCGAAGCTTGAAAGGAAGACCAATGGAGCGACGGGAGAAAGAGAGACAAGCGATTGAACATTTGTTTGTGCACGCCGACTGAGGTTCTAGAATGCTGCGAAGCTGTTCGACTTTAACAAAAAAAAGCCAGCAGTCTCTTCGTCGCATCGATTTGGTCGATTGAAGCTGATATTGTGACGCCCTGCTCCTGAGCTGCCTTTTCCTCAGCGAGTCTTCTGCGCTCTTTTGCTGCTGCTGACATGCCCGTTCGTTGAAGCTTGGCGCGGTTTCTCGCAGACTTTTGTGACGAGGAGATGGACATCTCGTAAATCGCTTCCTCTGCATCGATCACTGGCAACTTGCGACGCTGGATCTGAACGAATTCCAGAGCCAACAAATAGTATAACTAGGCCTTGTGTCGAAGTCCGCTGCTTCTGATCGGGCACTGGTGGCCGTATTATCTCCTCTTCTCTTTGGTTTAAGGTAGTAATCCTATACACAGAGATTCGCGGAAATATAATCAGATGATTTGGCAACGTTATTTGTTTTGTTTACAAAACCTGCCAACACTTGCTGCGGATGTTTCAGCTTTGTGCGTGACTTTATTGGTGTCTGCGTTACGAGTTTGTTTGTTTACGTTGTTTGAATTCTCAGTGAACTGGTGAACTCTTTTTCCTTAAATTTCGAATAACATTTTATTGAATATTTCAGTTCCGAAAAATGCTGAACTTCGCAAAAAATTGCTGGAGTTTTCTGGCCTACTGTAGGATTTTTTCCTGGATGTGGATTCTATGCGTTTGTGCAGTTTATGTTACAATAGACTGATGCAAAATTTAAAATTTTTGCTCCACAGTGCTCAAACGGTTCCAAATTGGGCCCTGATTAGCCTCCCAAAATTTAAACTAATTTAGTAAGAAACTGACTTTGCACAAACCATTTGAAATTTATATGGGAATTACTATGGAGAAACCATAATTTCCGTTCATATCTATCTCAAAATTCACCAGTTCACTCTACTTTAAAAAACGATAGCTGAGCTTGTTGAAAATTTTTTCAGTCACAACTTTGTTCAAGACCACTTTTCGATCAAATGTAAGGAACAAAAATTATTAATGATTCATTAATGTCTTATAATTATGGTCAATCAACTGTTCAGCAGGCAACATTGGTGTTTATGGCGCGTACACGGTTAGAAAAAAGTACCCAAAATTAAGTTCTTTTCACTCATCTCGGCACTATAGTGCAGGAACCCAAAAGTAAGTAAAGCGGGTTAAAGCAATTTTCATTTACTTGTGTGTAGTTCGTATGGAATTTTCCACTAGCTTTTTAATCAAAAGTAAGGTAGTTGTACCCAACAGTAGGTAAATATGATTATACTCAACGTTGGGTTCCCACACTTTACTACCCCTGTTGGGTGATTTTGCTCCTCCGTTTTTGACAACATTAGGAGGAGAAAAAGAGATAAACTAGTCAAAAGTAGGTAAAAGTGAACTGGTCGTTGGGTATTTTTTTTCTTACCGTGTAGAATAGAGGACAAACATCATGGCTACACTGAAACAAAGATAATAGTTAGGAATACTATTTTGCAGAAAACACTTATTTTCAGTATAACTACGCTTAATACCGTTAAATCTACCATGATTTCAGTATAGTTGACTATAAATATAATCAAATTTACTACCATTCTGTCAAGACTACTATGCTGACTCAAACGGTATAGTAGTTTCGATAGAAAAATTAGTCAAATTAAATGAATTTCGTTTCTGCACAAATTTATTGGTGGGAGTATTTAATTTAAACCATCAATATAGTATTTTTGCCAATGGATTTTGTTTCTGTGTACTATGTCCCACTATAGATACTATAGATTCCATAGAACACAAAAAGTTGTTTTGGCAACCATGAAAAATAAATGATTTATTGGCATCCGTGAAAAAAGTTCATGCCATCGTAGAGCTCTTCGTTGTGCAGTTTTGTTTCGTTTCGTGCGTAAAAGTTCAAAATGAAGTGCAAAGCAAATCTTTGCAACAATGAATCGAGGAGTAGTTTGCTTTATCTTTCCTTCTTCCGTTGTCCTCGAAATAAATCGGAATGCGGAGTGTGGAAAGCGTTTTGTGCTCATAATATTACAATACTTCTCCCTCAAACAACACCATGATGAAGTCCTGCTCGTTTGGCTACACTAACTGACAGTTCGGTTGGCTACATTATACTTTGCCTCCGCTTATCTATGGAATCTATAGTATCTATATGTCCCACTACAGAATACAGTGTTGCCCTCAATACAGATGCTTAATCTTGCCATAAGATTATCAATCTCTTAAACAATTAATAACTATTTAATTTGACGTTTGGCTGTACAACGTTTTTCTGCAAAGTTGTAGCTGATAAAAATTCCCATAAGAATAGCAATAGAACTTGTTAACAGTACAATATGGAAAAAGGCTAAAAGACAATGAAAAAAAAGTTTTGTTTTCCCATAGTAATTTCCATATAAACTTCAAATGGTTTGTACCAAGTCAGTCTCTTATCAAATGAGTTTAAACTTTCGAAGGCTAATCAGGACTCGATTTGAAATCCGTTTGAACACTGTGGAGCGAAAATTTCAAATTGTGCATCAGTCTAATGTTATACAATGAAAATTATTTGGTGGTATCTAGTTAAAATTTAATGCTTCTTCCAGTACCATTTTGTACACACACAATTACATTTTGCTAAAGAATCAAGAAATATTGCTAAAAAAAAACGAAATATTGCGTACAGTTTTATTGCGTACTTCACATCAAAAATAAGCGCGTTTTCACTTATTAAATATGGTGATACATTTGCGAATTTTCGTCTAATCTTGGTATCTTCAGTGCACTCATTCCTTATGATACAAGCAATAAGTGCTCCAAAGACAGCAAAACGATTTGATGGAAAAAATGCACACTTTTGGCATTTTTTAGGGCTGTCCAATTTTAGATGCAATCAGCAATATTAACCAAACCGATTCACAATTTGTCGGAGAAGCGGGGAGCGACTGGCAAGCGTCTAGAATGAGCTTCCTAAAGGAGCTTCTTTTAGAATCTTTTTTGGAAGCTTCTTTAGAAGCTTCTTTTAGACGCCCTTTTTAGAATCCTTTTTTACAAGCTTATTGTAGTGGTTTGCTCCAGATTTTTAAAATTCTTGAATCTTATATTTTCGATCAATGAAATTAATGTGATGATCTTATTTATATGAAAATAAATGTTATGCATCCGTGGCTGTTCAAATATTGTTCTTCCACAACAAACTCGCACCAACAATCACGTAAACATGAATGAAAAAGTAACCTACCGAACGTGATATTATGACACTTTACTATCAATAGATGATATTTGACCAAAGCATTAGCACCAATTATCCAACCAAACACACAGTCGGTGCCATAAATATAGTACAAAAAATAACCCGAGCAGAAAACATCTCAGTCCTCGACTCAAGAAAACCGTACCCAATCCTATTTGGAACTCGTTAATGCCGCTAAATGGCCACCTAATAGAGCACGCCCGTTCGTTCGTCCGAGCCAGAGTTGCATCACAGAAAACACCTTTTTCGTGAATTCCACTCACACGACCAGCGACCACTGCACGGATAGGTATGCACGCCTTAAGGAGAAAGAAAAAAAAAAAACGGAAAAGAAAGCGTTTTTATCAGTTTACTCCAGTGGCAGAGAGGTACTAGAGTCTCCATCGCTGGTGGAGAAAATTTACATAACATCCACGCAGCGGTGTTCGCGAAAAAAAAGAAGCCACACCGCGCCGAGCACACACCTAATCTCGTATAATTGATTTAAATGCTGCACGCCTTAAAAATATAAAAGTTTTCCTCCAGGCCGCCAACGGCTAATTACAACCGGCTGTCGAATCCGGCCCACGCACACCCGTTCGACTGCAAATCGAATTTTAATGAAGTTTTTTTTTATTCGCTTTACTTTCAGTTTCATGCAGAGTACCGCGCGGAGCATCTCAGCCCGAATCGCGGAAGCAGGAGCCAATAATCGTAGCAATCTGTGATCGGTCAGTACTACGCGGCGAACCCGGCCTACTCGATGTGTGTAATTTGGTTACGAAAATAACAGCACCGCGGTATTGTGATTTGTGTCCAAATTTGTACCCACAAACAAATAGAGTAGCCGAGCCGGATTGGAGTGGTCTATTGATTCGGAAAGTGTCCAAAAAAAGTGTCTCTGCGAGAAGAAGTGCGTGGTGTGAAAATTAGAAAGGTTCCGTCGAAATCGAAGATCGTTATTCTTCGTTATTGCGATCTCGTCAAAGAGATCAAAAAGTGTGAAACCTGATGCAACTGATCATTGGTTAGGCAATCGTAGTAGCAACTGAGTGGTGTTGGAGTGTTAAATTTTTTTGGGTTATTTAGCTGAAGTCGGTACCAGTTGGCAGTAATCAAATGTGCCAGTAACCCGCAATCGGCGCAAAATGAAGATAAGTAAAGCAAAGAAGCTGTCGTTGCGTGTCGTGATCATCGCGACGACGCTGGTAGTGCTACTGGGACCGGTTGCCGAGGCTCACGTTGCCCTCACGTTTCCACCGGCGCGAAAGTATGACCTGGATTTCCTGGACAATTCACGCACCAAAGCGCCCTGTGGGATGCCGAAAGGTGAGTAACTTAACTTCTCCACATCGTCGGAATGGGATGGGATCGATTTCACAGCTCGTTTGTGCTGCCACCGTGCCGCCGGTTTCCATCTCCGTTAATAAGCGGCCTGCGATTAGATTGCTACTGTGCTGGCTGGAGAGTCGAGAAAGTGTCCCGGACGCGAGGTGGCTAAAATTGGTCGTTAAATGTGACAGAAACGGATGAACCTAACGAGATCGAAGGGGGAAAATTGGGTCTGTTACGGTTTCCGCCGAATTAAGTGGTGAACCATTTTCGAGCGCATTAGTAGACCGACTGGGATTGACGGGAGGGTTTGAGGTAGTGCTGCAAAATCTCGACAATACATGGCGATATTGAAAATTCTGCTCTGGTCACCCATTTGAGCTAACAGCCAGGCAAACCATGTCAATTGTCAGTGACAATGCTGTCTGTTACTAACATGTGCAGATTTTTTATTAGCTTAATTTGTACCGAAATTAAATGACTTGACCAATTACATGGAGCCGTCAACGTGAAGAAGCATCTACGTTCTAAACTGCTTGGATAACAATAATGTGACTCAGAATGCACGAAATTACACTTTTTATTACCAGGTGAATCTTTGCAATTGACGCAAAAATTAATGAGATTTTGACAAAAGGTTTTTTCACGATCAAGTCTATCAGTGACTATGTGAAGATCAGTTTTGTCAATATCGCGCGAAAGTCTGTCAATGACAATGACAAATCTCAGCACTGGATTCAGGGTGCTGCAATATGTGATGCAAAGCGGTTGGTTATCTTTGATTCAAGTTTTTGAGAGTTTAGAATAATAACGTGTGTATACGTACACAAAATCGATCGAACAGCTGTACTTAAATTAAAAAAAACGGCTCTAAAAGCACAAGTTAAAAAGATATGTCTCTAAATTTTTGGCAGCTCAGTATTGGACATATTTGGTTGAGTTTACAAAAAGTTAGAGCAATTTAAGAAAAACGCCTTTTTCGTAACTTCTTGAAACTTTGCACATTTTTGGTCGTAATAAATATCATTCATATGCCGCTAATTTTACTAAAATTCGTCCACTAGGTAAAAATTAAAAAATCGACCGTTTTACTAAAACAAATCTAACTTCATACAGGCTCTTCCAATAAAGACCAAAACTATAGTAATAAATCAATAACCATCTGTTCAACCACCAGTCACGATTTAAAAAAAGTATATCTATTCACCATGTTTCACAAAATTGTCCTCGATCAATTTAGAGATACACTGTGCATTCAACAACAAAGACATATTTTTTCAGTATTTAAATGAATATAAATTTGACTCTGGAAATTGGTACAACAATTAGATCTCGATTTTGGCAACGCGACACTTAGGTCTGTAATCTAAAAATACGCAATGTGTTTTAATCCAACCAAATTTTTCTTATTTTTGTAAGCATTTGGAATGTCAAAGCAAGGACTTTCAGGAAACCATCTAGCCTAGTTTTCAAACATAATTTGAAAACATCAAGCTAGTTTTCAAACAAACGAATCATAGGGTTGGAACAATTGTTGTCCTGAACTTGATAGAAACATTTTTCATTGAAGTAAAGGCTGCCTAAAAGTAAATTGGTACACGCAAACCAAAAATCTATTACAATGAGTGTAATGGTCTTTTGTCTTTTTCATTTCGTGTTCTATCTACGCTTTCGACTATACCAGTAAGCTTGTAGAACGACGCACATTGTAGAACATTGTAGAACGACACACACACTTGCCTCGAATCTCTCCAGCAGAAAAAGCATACGAAGTCGAGTATGCGAGAAAATGAGCGCTTCATCTTTGCTTTTAGGCTATCCATATTCAGAAGCATGGAGAGAGCAGTGGAGAAAGCACAGGTCTGATAATCGAAGCGTTCGTGGTTCGAGTCCAGTCGGCAATCGGATTCCTATTTTTTTCGACATAACTAATTTACCTCACTAATACACTCTACATTTTTCGGTCTCCAATTTTCTTGCATTGGACCGCAGCTAGGTAGGGTATACGTCCCTAACCTCGGTCTAATATGCAGCCATCGATTACGTTTTTAATCATAACTCATCAATGAATTTACCTGCAAACGATATTCTACTGCTAAATGGTATGCTTAGATATGCTTATCATGTCGTTTGCTATCAGAAACCACGAAAAGTTGAAAAACTTACTTTTTTTAAGACAATAACTCACGAGGGAAATGTATGTAATATGGGTCTATTGTCCCCAAATTGGGTCTATTTATGGATGCAACTTCGTCCTATCTTGTTTGATCCTCAAAAAAACGCTCTTGGTAACGTTTTCTGATGTATTTTTTTTTATCACTATCACTGTTAACTTAATGCTCTTCATTCCTCAAAACATTTCTTAGAGAAAATTTTACGAAAACTACATTAAATCACTCAATTTAAAAATTAAAAATTAAAAATTTCGCTTATCGTCTTTTGACCGCAGAATATCTAAATCAGAACATTGTGATGTTCATTATACAGGTTTGGCAGAAAAAATCTCCCTTCCTGTTCGTTCCTTATCATCCAAATGCAAAACAACATTGTTGACGTTACTCTTATTGCTATATGCTGTCAAATGAATTTCATGGGCCATAGTTAGGAACATAGAAAAGAAATGTGTCCCTAAAGTTGGGTCCATGTTTTACTTGTGAAAACGTTGTTAAACAATTAAAATAAACATAAAATATTCAAACAGCAACTGTAAGTTTTACGTCTAGTGTGTATTATCAGGTAATTCCAATCAATAAATGCCATAATCAGGCCATTTGATGATCGTCAGTCAACCTTCCCATCTTAACCTTATAAGTCATGGCGGCTAAAAACTCCGAACATTGTGATATTCTCAACCAGTTTTATTACTTACGAGAGCTGAAAATGTATTGAAATGTTGTGATATAAATTGATTTGTGTGTGGTACACATTTATCAACCATCAGTGATCAATATTTTCCTTATTTTTTGTGTAATATTCCTTAATTAATTATTTATTTGCGTGATAGGCCGAATGAAAGGACTAGACCCACATTACATACCGTAACCCTATATCGCATCCTCGGTTCATGCGGTCTCCACTAACATCCTCTGATGATGAATCCCACATAATTGTAAGCGAATCTTACATTCCTCGGTTGGGTGTACGCCCCTCGCGCGCCGCTAGCACGCCTCTAGTGTTGGGAATCGAAAATCTTTGACAGCGGTTTGTTTACACTTCTATAGAGAACAATTGGTGCAAGTTTGATCAAAGTAGTCGATCGTGTTCAGAAATAACGTCAAATGTAACTCGAAAGAAGAAAAATTATTGTGCACAAACACCTGGAAAATCCGGATTGGACCGGTTCCAAGCTGGCTAAAGTGCTGAAGATGCCAAAAACAACAGTTTGTCGAGTGCTCAAAACCTACAAGGAGATCCTGAGTGTGGAAAGGAATCAGCGGACCTACGAAAAAACTGGAACCAGGGATCGTCAGCTACGCAGCAAGGTGTTGAGGTGCGTTAAAGTCAACCCCGGTCTTTCAATCCGGGATGTGGCCAGAAGGTACAACGCCAACTTTCAAACGGTGCGGAACATCCTTGCCAGAGAAGGATTCAAGTCATACAAAGCCAGTAAACATCCGAACCAGCACATGAAGCAGAACTCTGTGGCCAAAAAGCGTGCAAGGCTCTTGTACGACCGTGTTTAGACGAAACACAAGGGCTGCACTTTGATCGATGACGAAACATACGTCAAACTCGATTTTAAGGAGCTTCCCGTTCAAAAGTTTTACATTGCGACTGGACGTGGGGATGTGCCGGGAAGATTCAAGTTCGAGTTTGCCGACAAGTTCGCGAAGTAGGCCATGAAAACGGAACCATTCGTCACATCCTCGACGATGGCATCCCAAGTTTTCAAAGAAGAATGCCTGAAAAAGCGTGTATTGCCGCTCATCCGCAAGCATAGGGGCAAAGTCAACTTTTGGCCCGATTTTACCAGCTGCCACTACTCCAAGGTGGTTCTGGAGTGGTACGCTGCCAACAAGTTCGATTTTGTCCCCAATCTAATGAATCCTCCGAATTGCCTGGAATTTCGACCAGTCGAAAAATACTGGGCAATTTCAAAGCAGCGACTTCGACGAAGCGGCAGGGCAGTCAAGGACATCCAGCAAATGCGGGCAAAATGGAAGAAATGCACTGATGCACTGAGCTCTGAAGCTCAGTGGAATGATTTGGCAGTAGGCATTCTGCTCCTCAGAAAAATGCTACGCTCGGCTTATTTCAAACTCGCGAGCGAGGCACCATCAAGCCTGCTCATAACCCCAGTTGAAAAGGCCAATGCTCTTGGTCAACACTTTGTGAATTCAAATAACCTTGGCCAAGTCATGGTGAGTCCCCACGAGCCTGCAGTATCGTAGGCAATGTATAGAGTCACCCCCGTATTTGTCCCTGACGTAAGTAGAATATCGGTTGATGAGGTGATAGCAGCGATTAAATCAACAAAGAATATGGCCGCTGGTGTCTATGGAGTAGCCAACCTCGAGTTGACAAACTTGAGTGTTGACTTCTTCGAGCACCTTGCAGCGGTCTTCAATAAGCGTTTGGTGCTTGGCTATTTCCCTTCATGCTGGAAATTAGCCAAAGTCATTCCAATCAACAAGCCTTGCAAAGGCCCTACCAGTGCCAAAAGCTATAGCCCCATCAGCCTTTGCCTTTAGTCTTCCATCTCGAAGCTATTCGAAAAGTTGATGCTCAGCCGTCTGCTGGTATTTTCAAATGATAATACCATCTTTATCATAATCAATTCGAGTTAAGGAAAGGCCACTCTATCATCCACCAACTCATCAAGCGGAACAAGTCCGTTTCCAATACATCTGCCATGGCATTGTAGGACGACGAGAAGGCGTTCGACAATGTCTGACATGACGGCCTAGTGATACAACTTCCCGATCTTCCTTGTTAAGATCATCAAAAACTACTTGTCGGGCAGACTGCATTCCAGCGAGCAATCGCTGCGGTTCCGG